CTATGGTGATCCACATCTTGATGGAATCGAATTCGAGTCACGTGGTATGACACAGGACTTCCATGCTTACGGCTAAGACTTGGCAGTCCTGGAATTTCTGAGACAAATTGATGGTTCAGGGCACCTAAGCAGGATATTTGAAATGGAAATTTGCAGTAGGCTGAAGCATGGGCATGTCCTACTCTCAGGAAACTGTATGTTACCAAGGGGAATTAAGGGCGGGGGGGGGGGGGAATGAAAAGGTTGGAAATTGAATCCAGGTTGCTAGTCAGCTAGCCTTAAAATGGAGAGATTTTCTGAATTATCCAGGTGGGTCCAAGGTAATGGCAAGGGTCATTAAGGGTCTGAGGCAGGCGTGACTGAAGAAGACAGCTGCAGACACAACGTGGCTGACTTTGGAGATGGAGGCCGTGGGGGGGCGGGGCCAAGAGGCAACCAGTGGGGTGACGTGGAGAGCCAAAGGGAGTGCATTCGCCCTGGAGCCCCCGGAAGGGGGGCCGTCCTGCCATCACCCTGATTTTCGCCCAGAGAAACCCATGCCAGACTTCTGACCTCCCGAACTATAGAAAGCCACATTTTAAAGCTGCTAAAGGTATGGCAATGTGGTCCAGCAGCAACAGGAGATCCGTGCAGGATTGCTTCAGAAATCAGGCACACGCTGCAGCTGTGCCCTCGGTCTAGAACCATTATTACTGCTTTCACGGGGGAGCCCAGCCATACTGTATTCGCTGGTTGTAGGGCGGACAAAAGGGACGGTGGAGCTCAGCATGCGAAGTGAGAATTGGGAGAGAGAGGGAAAAACAACACATTGTGTAGACAGCAGCTGAGGAGGTGTGAATCAAGTTCAAGTGCAGGCTAACTTCCTCTGATCAGTGTACCTAAGAGCAATGCAATTGATTGTGTTATTTCAGCATTATCTTTGTGGATTTTTCATAGAAATATCTTATGTATTTTAAGTAACTGATGTGCCACAGGTTGTACCTTTTATAATCTGAAAATCAAAACCTCTCAACAAAAAGTGGGTGCTGAGTAATGATGAGGGGTATATAATAAGCAAGCCAAACTTTGTCGACCAACAACGTTGAAAAATATAAATATCCCTGTACTAACAAACCCGTAAGCTGAGGATCACTGGAGGAAACCACATCAGTTACTGTTAAAAAAGATTTCCCAGCAGAATTAGAGCTTTTATTTAAAAATAAAAATATCAGTAGTCTAGAATCTATTTTTGTGACTGCCACCAGAGGGCGCTATAACCTTTGTAGAAGATCAACCCCCAGCAGAGTCACACTTCCTGAAGAATCTTCTTTTTTTTTTTTTAAGATAGCAACATCGCGGGGGGTGGGGGGAATGAACACCAGTAGCATATTTTGATTTTTTCCCATGTCTTTTTACTTATATATGTTACCTTGTTTTTATTTTTATCTTACAAGTCAACCTCAAAAACATAAAGCAGGAGAAATGAGCCATGACACTTTTTTCAGTTCAGTCCAAGAGAGCAGTGACACAGAACGAAAGCACAGTGAAATTGAAGGCGTCACTTCCCCATTAATATCGTGCCCCCAAAGACCATGCAGTGCTAAAGGTCACGTCGCCGTCATGCAAGGACATTCACGTAACACACGGTGGCTATAATCTTGGTTTTTGTTACGGGATGCTAAGTGCCTCCATGGGGCATGCTTCCCCTTTGGACTGAAGGCAAAGAAATATCGATACAGACAGAGCAGGTAAGTCTCCTCACAGCTACAGAAATGTAAGCACTATTTTTTAAACGCAGAGCCCGCTTTGAACGTTTTCTCTGCGGCCCGCGGTGATATGGGGAAGAGTAAGGATGCGCAGAGGACGCAAGAAACTGCTTCCTGTCTCGTCCTACAGCAACACGTGCAGCTGTTCAACAGCTTGTCCACCGCGGCGGACGTCGCACGGCGGGGGGTGGCAGCGTCCCTCTCTTTGGGCAGTTTCAAATGGGTTGTTAAACTCCCGTGTCAGGGGCTTCTCTTTTCAGCCGCGTGCTCCAAAAGCTGGGGCATGGCAGTCACCTCACGTTTCTAGAACACGGTTTCTCTTGGGAGATGAGGATACAAAAAAATTGGAAGGGAAATAAGTGGGAAAACCGCATCCAAATATCGTATTGTGTTAGATGCATCCTAAATCTTCGTTTAGATAAAGCAGCTTTTCAGTAAATAGTAACTTCTAGATAGGCCTCCTGGGTCCTTAAATTGCTCATTAAATCTTCTGTGTGGCTGTATCAAAATATTACCTATAAATACCACCTCTCTTTAAAAGACTTAAAAGTGTGTTTTCATTTTGTGCTTCCTCTCTATGATATTATTTGTGATTTAAAGGCTCTCTGAGGAAATTTCCACCATAATCACACGAGAAGAAATTGAGAGAGGAGACGCCCGGTCCCCAGTCACTAAGCTCAGTCCCTGGTATCTTCTGACGCCCTTTAAAAGGAAAACAAACTAAACACACTCCATTCCTTCAAGTGTATCTCTTTCCCCCAAGGATCTTGCAGCACCTAACAAGCAGTAGACTTTTAGAAGGAAGAAAAGAAAACCCCAAGTGATTGGGTGGAACCCTGATCCATAGTCAGCAGGTCACGGACTGTAACCCTGCAGATCACGGAGGAGGAGCTGTGTTCAAGGAAAAGAGGCCCCTCGGGGTTCAAATGGATGGCTTTTCGAAAGCCACAGTGGCAGCCAAGTGCCCATCTCAGCACCATGGCACGCACACTCCCAAACTGCCCAGTCCCCACAGCGACTGCACAAGGGAAAGCGAGAGGGAGGGGACAAGTTCAAGGCCTGGCTGTACTCTTCCTGCAGCACCTCACTTTTCAGTTTGCTTCCTTCCTCCATCAAAAGTAGTGAAAGTCCACAATCACCCCACAAAGGCCGCCGGGTACTGGAGGGGGAGCCTGAAGCACATTGCTCATAAACTGTGAAACAATACATGAACAAAAGACACTGGTTTCCCAATGAACTCTGGCTCCAAATGTAAGTTCTTACGTAGGACTTTCAGCGTCTTTGCAAAGGTGTGCTTTATGATTCTTCCTAGGCCTTTGATGCTATCGTGGGATTGTAATAGAACTAAGACTTCCTAAGAGCAAAGAATGGGACCTGAGCGTGGGACCATCTAAGCATGTGCTTAGCATGTGCTGTGAGGTACCAGCAAGTGAGGGTATCACATGAGGCTCGGATTCTAACAGTTGTGAGTAGTGGTCCTCCCTGCAACCCCCAAGAGGAGTCTCATCCAGATCCTAATCCACAGGAGGCACCACGGTTCGGACCTGGTGATGCTCAGATTTCTCCACTTCTTTCTTCAACAGCCCTGGCTCTGGGCCATTCCATAGCCCTCAGACCCTGTATCTGTCAGAGTGGGTAGAACAGTCTCCGCTTAAGGTGATTTTGGTCTCAGGGTTTCAGTTGAACTTTCTTATGGGGCGATTCTGCAAAGTAGCTCCTTCAACTAACAAACACTTCTAGACTAACCTGATTTTGGAAAAAGAACGGAAAGGCTAGATGAAGTAACCTCGTGGACCTACTTTGACTTGAGTAGTTCTACAGGAATTTATACCAAAAGGTTGGTTAAATATATATTAAGGAAAAGCCAAAGTAGAGGACTGAAGCCCAAGCCCTAGCCCTAGCCTATTCCAAGCCCTAGTCAACAACGTTGGGAAGCCTTCACCTTGGGAAAGCTCTTGAAAGGTGCAGGTTGGAAACCAGAGAACAAAAGGCGGAAGACCTGTACGTCACACGCCGTTAGTATATTGTCCATTCCTTCCCTTCCGTCTCCTCCCCTCGACCCGTGACATTGTGGACCCAACACCATCGCCCCCTGACAGCGGCTAGGTGATCATTCCTGGAGTGGAGATGAAGGCGCTGGCCCCTCCAACCTGAGTCTGAGGACCTGGACGGTTTCTCATCTCCGGTGTCAACGGGCACTCGCCGCAGGCCGGGCGCCCTCCTCCGTGTGGTCTGGGTCTCGCCCAGCCTAGCACATTCCACTCGCTGTGGGAGCTGTGAAGTGTCTGCCCGGTCAGACCGACTGACACGCCGCCCACTCTCAAAGCTTATGGCTCTACAAGCTGCTTCCTGTTGTGTTTTGTGCTTTTTTTTTTCTTTCTTATTGCAAAGGTTCTTTTTTTTTTTTTTTTTTTTGATTGCCAGGTTGAAGACTTCTTAGGAAAGGTTGGGGAAAATATGCAACGACTATTTCCATTTAGCTTGCAGATAAAATTCAGGGGGTTACATCCCTTTGAATGTCAAGCCACACTCTTTATACAGAAAAATGTGTTCTGTTGACAAGTTGCTAGGGGTAGGCCCAAAGTGGGCTTTTGGTGGGTTGTGGTTATTTTTGTGGTGAAAAATATTCATGATGGTGAGTAAGGGAAGACTTTCATATTGTTTCTCTAATAAAATTAGCTCTTTTTAACAACAGATTCCTAAGTTTCAATTACTCTCTAGACAAAAGACTGCAGTAGATGCGTTTCGTTTGGTTTAGGTTGTGTGGACATAAATGACATAAAACTTCAAGTTTATTTCCTAAAAGGGATCACTTAAGCTGAAAGTCCATTTCTGGTTCAGAAAGTGACTTAAAACAGAGAAATTTAAACCCTCTGCAGGGAGGGGGAGAGGGAGGAGGAGAGAAAGACAGAGAGAGAGATCAGAAAGTAAAAGACTGTTACCTAGTGCCCTACATTGGTCCCGTGAGACTTCCTGAGCATTCTGCATGCATTCCAGTGTAGAATAACTGCAGTGAATCAGTCCTCAATAGTAGTCCTCTTTTTCTCAAGCACAAGGTATGTCCTCTGAGAATACATACTCAGCAAAAGATAGAATAATATATCATCTTTTAACACACTGGTCATTAGATCCTCTATAAATATACTTAAATAATCAACACAGCTATTCACATAGGACATGAAGTGACATACACATACAAAAATAAAACAATCGTGTTTTAAATCTCTTGTTGTTTTTCTTGGGTGATTTTTTTTGGGGGGGGTGGGGAGTAAAGATATTTAAACAATTCAGTTAATAGAATCATCTCACCAAGATGAGGGAACCCAGGGAACCAGGTATAAATTTACACTGTGCGCAGGCACCACGGCCAAGGGCCAACGCAGCGAACGTTCCCCGCTGGACCTGTTACTGGCTCCCGCGGTGGTGGTTCGGCAAAGCTGGGAGCCAGTGGAGGCCTCCGAGTGCAGGGAGACGTTTTCTTTAGCTGCCCTGTGGGAAGGAAGTAGAACCAGATCCCACCCTCCCCCCGGCGGAGTGAACTGTGAAACCACCAAGCTGTCCTTTGAGCGAGGGGGCTGAATACGGAACACACACCTCCTTCTTGGGCTCTCCCAGACCCCACTCGTGGGAAAGGTACAACCGCCTGGACCACGGGCAGGGGACTGCCACAGAAACATCTGCCCTGTTCCAGCGGCTGCCATAGAAACCGTTCCTTCACCCGACAAAATGATTTGGAGGACTCAGCTACCCAACCAGGTAGAATAGGTGCTTCTCCTCTTGGAGAACCAAGTATTTCTATGAATTACTGTCCCTACTAAAATGTGATCTTTAGTCCAATAATGTTGTAATTTTCTCGAGAGCAAGGAACAGAAGATAGAGTTCCCAAATCCCAACGAGAGCCCGGCATGGCTGTGAGCTCCAGGCAGGAACACAGGACCACTCAGCTGGACTCCATCACTCCCATCTCCATGGGAACGCCACACCCGGAAGGGGTCCTGCTGCTATTGGTCCTCACTCAGACGGCATCTTTCCAGGGAGCTGATGCTTGAGGAACTAGTCTTGGCTTTCCGTTTAAGGGAAAATGGAGCTCTGGCAACATCTTGAAGAGTTGCTTGGGGGAAGAAGGGGAGAGAATTCTGGCTTGTTCTCAAATAGAATTTTCAACAGAGGCCGAGGAAGGCGGTCTCCCGAGCCCCTGAGGGTTGTCTTCAGGGGCCGATGCAGGGTCCTGCTGCTGATAGATGTCCTGAATCAGCATGGTATTCATGACCTTCCACTCCCTGTATTTTCTGGCTGTCAGCTTCGGATCGTCCAGCAGCTGGTTAATCATGGCCAGGTCGTGTTCTTTACACTGTCCAAGTGGGAAACAAAAAAGGAAGAGGGGATTGTCATGAGTATGTTCATTTCAGTAAGACATCCTCAGCCCCTTTTACAAATAAATGCACATACACATCAAAATCATCAAAGGTTTTTTTTAACCCATAACATTCAAATCCCTACAACAATCCTAGGAATTATGCCAGGACATCCATTCACAGACGCTAGCCATCAAGAAGTCAAGTATGCAGCCCTGGCTGGCGTAGCTCAGTGGACTGAGCGCAGGCTGCGAACCAAAGCATCACAGGTTCGATTCCCAGTTCAGGGCACGTGCCTGTGTTGCAGGCCACGGCCCCTAGCAAACGCACATTGATGTTTCTCTCTCTCTTTCTCCCTCCCTTCCCTCTCTAAAAAATAAATAAATAAAAAATAAAAAAATATTTTATACTAAAAAAAAAGAAGTTAAGTATGCTACCCAACGAAGACCTAGACACACAGCCAAGGAGACGTCTCCTATGTTACTCTTCCCTGATCAGTCCATTTTTCCACAGTACAGTGACGTTTCTTAGTGTGAGAATCATTCCCCCTGAAACTCATAACTGTATGATCATTTCATTGACTGCCCAGACTTCACCAGGTAAAATGGAACAGAGTGCCTTCCCTAAGACACAAGACAATACAAAATATATCTTTTTTACGACCTTAAATTTTGTTTAATTTATTTAGTTAACCTATGTAGAATGAATACATAAGCCATCTTTTTATTCAAAGAAAAGATTACAAACGTCCGTGAGAGCAGTATATACATTGCACTGACGGGAATAGAGCAGAGAATTTATTCACATTATCTCACCCCTCCTCCTCTGTAACCAGCGACACACATTTCTGAAATGTCAGGCCCAGGTTAGGGGCATTTTCTGTAGTCAACGAATGAGTTGAAAATAAGACACAACAGCCTCCACATTCAAAAAGTTCATTCATACCCAACAATTATATCCCAAATCTATTCTTGTTTCCTTCCTCCCTATGACCACCATCATCCTAATTTCAGACATAAAGTCCAATATCCCACACTCGATCTGCTGCTACAGCTTCCTAAGTCAGTGCCTGCCACCAGTCTCCACTTCAAATCCACCCTCACGTGGTCGTGCAGAATCCACCTAAAAACCTGAGTTTCTTGAATGGTTCCCTTTCGTGTCTAAATTCCGGGGGACTGTGCTGCGTTTGGTGCTTCCCATGTACTGCTTAGATATTCACGGATCTGCCATACCACCTATTCTAAAGCTTCGTGAGGAAGGAGACAATAAACATATTGGGTTCATCTTTGTGTTCTTTACACCTAACACTATGCCAGTTGCCAGGTAGACACTCAACACGTGTTTATCACTGGACCAGTCTCTCTGCCTGCCCTAGCAAGGCATCGTGCAGCTAAAAATGTACAACTACGCTAACTGGTAACAGCTCAAATTCATGACCACTGCCATCAGGTGGACTTTCACTATTATCCAGTCATCATATTTTCTCACCCTTTTTCCCCCTCACTCTCCTCCGAATGATTATTTCAGAACTTCTTGTCTGTACTCAAACCTTGCTACCATCCTCCTTTGCAGCTGATGACCTTGCTCTATTTTTTTTTTGGAAGAAATGGAAACAATCAGAAGAATATTTCTCCCAAGTTTTTATTGCCCACTATTTAATCTTCACAGATACATGGCTGCCTTCCCTCCTGTTCATCTGGATGAAAACATCTGTGCTCCCAGCAAAGGTCAGTCTCTCCGCTTGTGCACTACTGCCCTCCTCTCACACTCAAAACACTCACTTCCCGAGTATCACCCCCTTCCCGTGACTCATCAACTCCCCTCTCCTCCTCACTGGCACGCATGCATGCCATTACATCTCCCATCTTAAAAGTCCTCTCGAGCGTAGCTCAGTGGATTGAGCGCAGGCTGCGAACCAAAGTGTTGCAGGTTCGATTCCCAGCCAGGGTACATGCGTGGGTTGTAGGCCATGACCCCCAGCAACCGCACATTGATGTTTCTCTCTCTCTCTCTCTCTCTCTCTCCCTCCCTTCCCTCTCTAAAAATAAATAAAAATAAAATCTTAAAAAAAAAGCCCTCTCAACCTCACATCCCTGACCCGGCTAATGTTCGACTTCACTCCTTGTCTCCGTGGTCCCTGTGCCCATTCTTTCACAGACCCACCCCCATCGGGCTTTTGCCCCCCACCCCGTCCTACCAAAACTGCTCTCCTTAAGGCCACCAAGACCTCCGAGTTGCTAAGCACAATAATCAATTATTCATTTTCAACGTATTCATAAACAGCATGTAAACTGTTGACTGCTCCTTGAATGCTTTCGTCTTGCCACTTGTGTGACACATTCTCTCGGTTCCGCTCACCCCAGAACGGCCACTGTTCCCAGCCTCCTTGCTGGAGAGCCCCGGCGCTCCAGCCTCGGGCCTCTCCTCTGCTCTGGCTGCATCCCTGCTCTCGGGAGTCTCACGCAACCTCCCCCGCTCGCTCGTTATCCTGAGGGCTGCAAATGTATCTGGCCAGCCTCTCCTCTCCCTTCAATTCTGTGTTTGTTTGTCTTTGTCTTCAGCAGCTTCATTCGGACATCTAACAGAACATCTCAGATAGAACATGTCCGGAGTGTCCACAACGAAGTTTCTGTTATTCTCGACGTGCCCTCCTCCTCCCCAGCTCCCCATACACACTGAAACCTGCTCCTCAGTCTCCCCCAAAGCACCTAATAGACTCCACCTTTCCAGCTGCTCCAAACACCGGACTCATCCATGACTCCTCTCCTCCCAAACCACCAGGAGATCCTGATGGGTCTACCTTCAGACTATGTCAAACCAAAGCACACCTTTCTTCAGAACCTACCAGAGGCCTCCTGGCTCACTCCAAGCAGAAGCCAAGGTGTCTACAATATAACCAGGCACTTGAAAGGATCCCCCTTGCCTCTCGGACCCGCTGCTGCTCGCCCCATCCGCCACGCCACCCCGCACCCCAGTCATGCGGACCTCCTTGCTCTTTCTTAAACCCACCGGACACGCTCCCACCCCAAGGCATGTGCATTTTTGCTCTTTTCGCCTGGACCATTCTACCTCAGATGGTCTCAGGGCTTACTGCTTTCCCTTTTCCAGATTTTACTTGAATTCCATCTTTCAAACAGGCTTTCATGCCTGTCCTAATTATAAGCGATCCCTCAACACTCCTTATCCTCCTCCTCTCATCGCATCTGTCATCACTTTGAGCACTACAAAACGACTTACTTATTTTGCTTATTCCTCCCCCTACCCACATATAAGCTGCATTAGGGCAGGCGAGTTCTTGTGATACATCCAGCGCTACGTCCGCGGGCACCTGAAGAAATGACTGACACATGCTAGACTAAAGACTTGTTGAAAAGAATTAATATGTGAAACAAGAAGTGAATGCATAAACTACTTATCCATTTATTTTCTAATTTCTTTTCCATTATGAACCCTGTTTGGAGCCTGAGAAAATCCTCTCCATAAAAAACAAAATGTTGGCCCTGGCTGGTGTAGCTCAGTGGATTGAGCATGGGCTGCAAATCAAAGTGTTGCAGGTTCTATTCCCAGCCAGGGTACATGCCTGGGTTGCAGGCTATAACCCCCAGCAACCACACATTGATGTTTCTCTCTCTCTCTCTCTATCTCTCTCCGTTCTGTCTCTAAAAATAAATAAATAAAAAATAAAAAATAAAAAATAGCCCTGGCTGGCATAGCTCAGTGGAATGAGCACAGGCTGCGAACCAAAGTGTTGCAGGTTTGATTCCCAGTCAAGGTACATGCCTGGGTTGCAGGCCATGGCCCCCAGCAACCGCACATTGATATCTCGATGTCTCTCTCTCTCTCTCTCTCTCTGTGTCTCCCTCCCTTCCCTCTCTAAAAACAAATAAATAAAATCTTAAAAAAATAATAAAAATAAAGTATGTTTTTATAAAGTATGTTATAAAAATGTCTCTATACACATTACATATATCATGCTATGTATTATATGTTACGTACCTATCATACATCTACAGCTGTCTGTCTATGCAGATACTTCCACATAGTTTTAGAGGTTCTAGAATTATTAGCACTTATTTTATCCAAATGACGTATCTGGTGATAGATGGTTACACATATTAGTGGCACCCAAATCTATTGTTTGTACTTTATAATTAGCTTTCACTTATGTTTTCTTTGGGATGCTTTATTATGTTTTTCTTGTTTTCTTCTTTTCCTGTTTCTAAGTTGGTCAGAATAATATGGATTTCAAGGGGAAGGCACCACCCATACAGTAGTGATGAGATAAATAATCTTGAATCAAGAGAAAGGATATGGTGATACATGAAAATCAAAAAATATATCTAGGTTTAAGGAAGGAGGAAAAAAATGTTCAGTGAGAAAGTATGCAAAGGATAGTGAGCAGGGTCTTGGAGACCCAGACGCAGAGGAGAGGCAGGGAGATAGGGGTGACTGGGAAGGACTGCTGGTGGGAAGCTGAGCCCGGCCAAGGGAGGGAGTTTTCTTTCTCCTCTGAGCTCTCAAAATTATGTTTAAAAAAAAAAACCAGTATTTTCCACAAAGAAAAAAGATGAGCTTTCATCCTCTATCACCACAGAGCTATTCATATGCAGTTATTTCAGGATTTTCTCTTTTGCTCTTATGACATCTGTTCAGAGAAAGATCCTAATATTTTATTGAAAAACGAAGATCTTTGCAGATGAACAAAATTTGGAAAATTAATTTTTCTAGAGGCAAAAATCACCTCACCCACCCTCTAAATCTGAGTAGGGGTTTTAGGAAAGGGTCCTTCAACTTCGGACTAACACCACACACGGTTTAGAGCTCTCAGCGACTCAACTGTCTTACCATTTGGCTCAAGTCCGTGTTAGTCCTTTTGCAGATAAAATGAAAAACCATACACAGGAATACAGAGGAAGAAAATGAATGAAACAGCAAAAGCTCTGAGCTCCCTCCTCGACGCAGCACCCTGGACTCGGCCGCACCGGGCCTGGCTCTTTCTGCAGCGCTGGGGGCTCGCACAGCGCCGCAAACCACTTCCACAACCTTGACCTTGCCTTCTGGTGGGCAGGCTGGGCTTGGTAGGACTTCCCAAAAATGCTGTGAAAGATGCTGTACTTTTCACTCCAAATACACAATAGATGGCTCTATCCAAGGCATAAGCACCGAGGACTGGACCTGTGTTCTACTAGAGTAGCTGGGAGAGAGGAAAGTTTGTTCCCCTGGACACGGGGCCAGGGGAACCCCGAAGGAAACTTTCAAACAGACTCATCAGTCATTCCTGTCATCTATTCATTATAAAATCCAGGCAGACTTAGCCACAACTTAGTGGATGTTGAGCTATCAGAGATGCCTAAAGATCTATATTACACATGATCATTTGCATGACTTCCTAGAAGAATCTCCATACAGAGCATTTGTTCCAACACAATCCCAGTGCAGGGAAATGTCCTTGTTTGTGGGATGTGCCTGTCACCAATACAAACACTGCAGTTAAAACGGGTTCCTCGTTTCTGCACGGACCTCTGCCACCTCTGCTTGTCCACACTGCAGCTTAGAAGAGTTTTTTTTTTTAAATAAACATTGACATGGCAATGTTACATATACAGAGAACAGCACACATATCTTAAGGCTTGTGCTAGATGAATTATCACAGAATGGACCCCTCTCCGTATCCACCACCAAGGTCAAAAAAAAACCCTTACCCAGCAGCTCACAAGCCATACCAGTGGCCCCTCCCATCCTATCCTCCCTTCCTCCTCAAAGGCAACCGCCATCTTGACTACTTTAAATTTTAAAGACAGTTAAAATTAAAAATATTTAAAATAAAATAATTCTTTTAGCTCTCTAAGATGAATAAATACACGTGTACCAAATTATCTTTCTCCAGTGAAGAGTCTGATATGTTTTTTCCCCCGCCAAGGTCAAGCCCCACATAATCATGTCTTCCTCCCTCCTGATCAGGTTCACGGCAGCACATAACATGGATGCTGGCTCATCAGCCCCAGCATTACCCTCTCGTGAGGCCTAAGGGGTCCGTGGAAAGGGCTCCCCTTCCAGGCATGAATGGGAGAGCCGCACTTCCGCTGAGCATGGCAGCTCATGACTGCCCCCAGCTCCCTGGGGTGCATGCCCTGGTGCAACTCCCCTCTGCGAATCCAGACGGACCTCGTGACTTGCTCCTAAAGAACAGAGCCCTGTCAATAGGGCAAATGCACTGTGACTGTAGGACTGAGCGTGGGATGTGACTCACCTTGCACACTCTTTCTCAGTCTTACTTGCCCTCAGGGGAGCCAGTTTCCATTTTGGGAGCTGCCTTAGGAAAGGTCCCCCCAGGCAAGGAAGGGTGTGGCTTTCCACCAACAGACAATGAACAACTGAGACCCTCAGTCCCGCAACCTGTGAGGAACTGGATTCTGCCCACAACCTCCTGAGAGAGGCTGGAAGTCTTGCACCCTGCGGAGGAGTGAATGCAGCCCCAGCCAAAGCCTGGATCGCAGGCTCCTCACCAAGCCACACCCAGATTCCTGACCCACGGGCTCTATGAAACAATGTGTTTATTGTTTGTGGTTTCTAAGGTTTGAGGTGTGTTTGTTACCTAGCAATCAGTAAATAATGCTCGGGGATAAAAGCAAAGGCCGAATGGATCAATCGGGTGGCCACAGTGCAGGGAGAGCAGGAGGTCACCAAGAACCACATGGGGTCCATAACGCTTTGGATTCTTTGTACAAACCTGGCCTCCCAGGGGCCAGGCCAGGACCTGGTCCTGGGATGGTCTGGAATCCGCAGACTGCTGTTCTATGAAAGGTGGCAGCACAGTCTTGCTCCTTCCGGAAATGGCCTGCACTGTCTATCTTCTCCTTAGCCTCCATTTCCTATTTCTCCCAACGTGGACGAATACATACGACCCACTGACACACACCTTCCCAGACCGGTTTCTCCTCCGTCCTTTTCATCTTGATATTCTCCATCTCTTACGCATTGGTCAGTTGTCAGCGTGGTCCCCAAGGGCCTCCAATAGGCCGCCACTTCCCCGCTCTGGCCAGTCAAAGCTCCCGAGTCTGCATCAGCTACAGCACTTATCACACTGCCTCTGTTTCCCCTCTGTTCCCATTGGCCGGCGGGGTCCATGCAACGGCCACAGTGCCCTTGAACAGTGCCTGGTACACAGTCAGATTCAGGAAATATTTGCTTGATGAAACATGTATTTTTTTACAGCACCTATCACAAATAACCAAATTTATCAATGCTGTACATACTGTGAAATATATTTATTTGCCTTTGAAATGAATGCTAATGATGTTTGTCCTCTGTAAATGTTAAGGAATGTCTCCTCTGCCTTTGGATTTTATTTCTATGGTTAAAATACCCCTCTTGCTTTTATTTTTCAGCCCCATTTCTGCCGACTTGTAGGATGCTTATGTCTTCTGCTGACTAACTGGAACGTCTGACTCAGAGTCACTCAGCCATCCCTCTTGTAGCCTTGTCCTTTGATTACCGAAATGTCTTCCTGGAAAGAGACTCAAGTTCCCGATGCAAAAGGACACGCACAAACCCGAATTAAATCGCAGGATCTATCACGGCTTTTCAGAATCTATAGATCCTTTGCTAATTCAGGACCATTTGGCAACGCATCCTGGCCTCCTCCTCTCCATGCTAGAATCTAAATGTGCAAGCAGGATGCTTTTGTTATGAAGAACCATTTTAGTTACAGGAGACCCTGAAAATAGCTTCGGTACATCCTGTGCACCGTCCCTCACTCCCATTGTTTGAACACCTGCTGGTCTGTATTTCCTTCTGCCCGGCTCCCACGGCACAGCCTGGCTGCCGGGCCTGTAGCCCAGGGTCGCTAAGTCTTTGCTGCGTGCGAAACCTAGGAAACGTCTTCTGGGTGTAGCACAGAACAATGGCACTTGGATGAATTGGGTGAAATCGCAAGATCTTACTAATATCACTGTTTATTCTCCCAAGTTGACTATCTTAAGCTCTCGTCACATTTACTGTGCTGGGTAAGAGGGTACACAAAACAAATGGCACGTGGCCCTGGCTTGCGAGGAGCTTCCCATTTGAAATTTTATACCAGAGTGAACGTAAAAACCAACACCTCTGCAGGAAAGTGGACCAGGGCTAGCCTGGGAATGCCCCCGTGCTTTAAGGACACGGAGGGTCATCTCACCCCACAGAGACTCACTCTGCTCTCACTGCCTTCCCCCCCGCCCACACAGACACACAGGGGCTGGCCGGGATCCCCGCAGAACCAGCCGTCCTCCACCCCACGTGCACGGCGTCCGTCCACGGTTTGAGATTGTTTACCTTCAATGTGCTGTTCAAGGTCCGGATTTTGTGGAGCTTCTCGTTTATGGATGGGTTCTTGCACCGCTTCACGAAGGACTTCCTCAACTCCTTTCTGGTCGAAGGCCGTCGGTCCCCAAGCGGAGACAGGCTGGCTTGCTCTAACGATTTGTAGAGCTTCTCCATTTCATCGTCTTCGGGCGCTTTCGTTTCTTCTGCTGAAATGGAAAGCAATAACAATAAACCGAGTTAAAGTCAAGGTGAGAACATCGGACGCTCTGGGTCCTGAATTGAGGCCCTGCCGACACTGTGATCTCAGGCTTCCGCCTTTCAGAACTCGGAAACAGTAAACTTCCATTGTACGGGCCACTCGCTTGATGGTGCTCCGCTAGGAAAGTCAGGTCCCCTCTGAAGGCACTAGGGAGGGGCCTGTTCTGGGCCTCTCTCTGGGCTTCCGGCGGTTCCCTGGCCAGTGGCAGCATAACTCCAACATTCACGGCTGTTCTCCCTGGGTGCTTGTCTCTGAGCCTAAACGTCTCCCTTTTATCAAGACACTGGTCACTGTGGATTAGGGCCCACCCTACTGTCCCCACCTTAACTAATCACATCTGCAACTTCACGATGTATAATAAGGCAATATTTTGAGATATTGGGGGTTAGGACCTCAGCACTGGAATTTGGAGGAATCCAACTGAACCTGTCATAGGCCACCATCTAGGCAGCCAAAATTCACGTCCTTTTACTCATACCATCCAACATCTCCAAAGTCTTAATCCACTCCAAGATCAATGTTAAGTCTGACATCTATTCCAAATATCACCTCATCCTAGTACTGGTGAGACCCAGGGGATAATATTCATCCTGTTGCAAAACTGCTCTCTGTCTGTGAACCTATGACACCAAAAGAGTTACGTGCTTCTTAAGTACAGAGATGGACAGGCAAACCCTAGCCAACTGATGCACGCCCCAGGGCTTGAGAACCACCGCCCCGGATTACTTGTTCATGTCCTCCCTAGAACTGCCCTTTGAGAGAAGGAGCCTGCCTACGGTCCGTGGCTTTGAGCAGATAATGATCATTCTTTGTGCTTCCTCTGCTCACGTTCCTAACCACGGTTTCCCAGCGGCAGCCCAAACGCTTCTGGTGAAACAACACCGCCCGAGATCCAGGGGGACCGCATGTGCCCCTGCACGTGCTAGGCTAACCAAACGGCAATTCTATCACGATGGCCAGGCAGTGATTTAGGAATAAGCATGGGTTTCAGGGCAGGCCATCTGGGGCCAGGGACCTCAGTTCTGAACTTTGGTTTGGGGGTACCAGAAAATCAATCTCTTTTTGTCCCCTAAACTGAGTGGTATGATGATGTAAGCTAGAAGAGTCCGGGAATCCTCCCAAGAATCACGAGAATGGAGCCATCTAGAGCACACAGCTGAGACACGCATCTTCAAGACACCACTGGAGCACGCTCAGCTCATGGGAGCCGACATACTGCCTTTGCTAAGACAACTCTGGGTGTGGTATGGGTCACACACAACAGCAAGGACCTCAAACAACACAGAAAGTCACCCAAAGAAAATCTTTGTATACGGAGGTTGCTTTAATTTCTTCCTAAGAACTTCAGATCTGTACTCCTTCATTCCCCGGAAATAAATCTTGGGTAAGATACACAACGATGTTTCTTTGCCACCACATACTCCTTAGTGTCTATGCATTTTACTCTTGTCCTAAGAACAAGTCAATAGATCACATACAAAGGATGGCATTTGGAGGTACTAAAAAGAGGCCTCCCCAAAAGGGAGGGGAAAGCATACAATAGGAGTCTAGGACCACCAAAATCAAGCAAATTTCACTCACTTTACAGTTTACTCTTGTAAGATCAGAGATCTTTGAGCAACAGTTAGTTTTCCTTCATCTACCGCCAGAAAGTTACGACAAGCGTTCCCGATATTCTTTCATGAAATGGAAACAAAGGCGCTGGACTAACTCCGCAACTGACTTAAAGTATTGGTCAGTAAACCTCTTTGTTCTTTTGTTCTTTACCAAACCAGTATCCAACAACGTGAAAATATTCAAAGCTGTGTTTAAACACAGTCGGACTTTGTGGCTCAGGCTGTGCGTAGTCAGTTATCAATGCTGAGGTTTTGTCAAGCACATGCAAACATGCTCAATATCCTTAAGTCACCAGGAAAGGCAAACCAAAACCGCAATGAGATGCTACTTCACACCCACCAGGATGACTAAAATCAAAAAGACAGACAATAATAAGTGTGGGAGAGGGTGTGGAAATACTGGCACCTTTATACATTCATTGCTGATGGGAATGTCAAATGAAGTCACCACTTTTACAAAACAGTTTGGCATGGAGGAGCCATTCCCCTCCTAGATATATACAAAGAGAATTAAAAATATGGTAACATAAAACTTGCACATGAATGCTCCTACAAACACTATTTATATAGACAAAGGATTGGAACAGCCTAAATAGTCATCAACTGATGAATGGATCAACAAAATGTGGCCATACGTACCATGGAATATGACTCAGTAATTAAAAGGAATGAAGTACTGAACATACTACAGCACGAAGGAACCCTGAAAACATTCTGCCAAGTGAAAGAAGCCAGGGACAAAAGACCACGTATCGGATGAGCCCATCGACATAAAATGCCCAGAACAGGCAAACCCACAGAGACAGAAAGCAGATCCGTGGTTGCCTGGGGGGATAAATGGGGAATGACAGCTGAAGTGCACAGATTTCTTTCTGCGGTACTGAAAATTCTCCAGTTGCATTGTGGTGATAGTCACACAGCTCTGTGTATTTTATATGTGAGACACATCTCAATAAAGCTGTAAGGAAAGTAGTCTTCCACGAGATTATCGTGACAACCGCTAATCCCTGCACAGAAACACTAAGCATTGGTAACGGTCCTTCCGTTAAGCTGGGGACATTAGAAACTTTTAAGAAAACTGAGTAACACAGCTGAATCTTAGGACATTAAGATGATAGACTTTGGAAGTTTTCATTCTTTAATTGATTTGAGAGAGAGAGAGAGAGAAGATGGGGGGACATTGATTTGCTGCTTCACTTATTTACACATTCATTGGTTGATTCTAGTATGGGCCCTGACCAGAGGTCGAACCCACAACCTTGGGGTATCGGGACAACACTCTAATAGACCATGCTACCCCGCCAGGGCTGGACTCTGGCAAGCTCCAGACACACAAGGATACGGCAATTTTATATACAGGGTGGGGGGCATAGGTTTGCAGTTGTCCGTGTGGAAAATAATACAATAATTAATAAATAATTATATAAGACTAAACTGGTTCATGTACTCACAAATGGAAACCTGCTTTTGCTCAACTCTGCATTTTTTTTATAGCTAGGCAGGTGGGACTTGACTTTGAACAAAGACTAAATACATAGCTTTCAACACCACGGTATTTTTAAAGTAAGTAATACATATTTCATAAACTTCAGAAGCAAATCAAACAAGCGTGTAACAAAGAAGATAATGGAATGGTTTTTTTCAAGTTTCTCTCTGTTCACCAAACTGTGCAGTTGTGCTGGTAAAATGCATGACAGACAATTACTCTTGACTAATACAGTGGTTTGTAATCATATTAGAGTAAAATGATTAAAGTTATATATCTAATCCAACAGATATTAGATTGGTAAAGATTAAAATAACTTTAGAATCTCAGAGTAACGTGGCATAAAGCACATTTCATATATGAAAAATAAACAGGACTGCCTTTTGGGTGATTTAATTTTTGTTTACTACACTTATGTGAGTATATATTATCTTTATGTTAAAAATATCAGAGGTATCTCTCTTCCACACACAACTATCATTTTCCCTGACTTAAATTTTGGGACATTAACCATGAGAATATAGGTGTGCGTAACTTTAAAATTAACACAAAGGTCAAGTGGACCTATTAAGATTACTGGGCCCTGGCTGGCGTAGCTCAGTGGATTGAGCACGGGCTGTGCACCAAAGTGTCGCAGGTTCGATTCCCAGTCAGGGCACATGCCTGGGTTGCAGGCCAAGGCCCCCAGCAACCGCACATTGATGTTTCTCTCTCTCTCTCTTTCTCCCTCCCTTCCCTCTCTGAAAATAAATACATAAAATCTTAAAAAAAATGATTAAAAAATAAAAAAAAGATTACTGGAAATTAATACAGAATTCACCTAAAATATGAACAAGTAATATTTGAAAACAGAACACCCTCTATTTGGAGTCATCTAGACATTGCAGATAATAGTGAGATAAGCTTAAAGCTATTGGACAAATAAGAAACAAATGAAAGGCAAATCCTTACTGTGCTCTCCTTACCTCTCTGCCCTCGTCTCTCCTTGGAGGAGACCTTAAACTCGAAGACTGTGTTTAGCTTCTAATAACCTGACTCCAGAATTGCCCACAGCCGTTAAGAACAGTAAAATAATAAATGGTGATGTGAATAATCAATCAAAACACTTTTATGGGCTCTTTTGTATCATAATCTGAGAGATGAACAACGTATTTCTAGATACTCAAAGGACGTACCTGTGAACTAACCATGTCCACTCCCAGCCAAGGACTTTGCGTTGTTTTTACTGCAGCTAATGGCTGGTGCTTAGCTTTTCCCAGGGCCATAAAACGAGCATTCAGTGATAACGGAAGTAGGTGACAAATGGAATCATGCAGCAGGGGAAAGGACCCAAAGGCCGTAAGCACACCAGGAAATGCAGCTTGCGCCTGAGCCCAGGGCAGACGAGAGTGTTTTCCCGGTTGCTAGGCAGAAGACCCATCAGCCCGCGGGCCTCCCCTGCACCTTTGCGGGGCTTCCCCAGAAAGTGACATCATAAAAAGCTCCCTTTGATATTTTCATGTAAATATTTGTTTAAATTGTAATTACATATTAGAAACCACTGGATTACTTCCATTTTACCAGATTGTAAAAGAAAAAAAAAGCAAGAAAAAGATTGGCAGACGAGACCACTGATCACTCTCCCACTGCAAACAGAAGCCAAGTTCATTATTTCCACTTGCCTTGTCGTCTGATACAAAATAAATGAGTTCTGTCAGACAGTCAAGTGCTTCCACTGCAACTGTTATCCTTCCTCCCAAGAGTGCATTTCAGTCTTCTCCCATAAAGCAGCAGGACTGGAATTCCCTGCTCCGCACAAAGCACTTCATAGTCTGTCTCAACTAGCCTCACGAGTGCTTTGCCAAA